CAGAGTCTGCGTCTGTCTGTCCTCCGTCCGTCGGGGGTGAGTGTGCTCTTGGCACGGACGTCCTTGAGGACAGGCAGGAGGACTTTGACTCTCTTGCGGCTGCTGTACCTCATCTCGTGGCCTGGTTGCTTGCCCCTGAGGGAGACCCGGATGCACTAGACATCCCCACTCCGCGCACTTACGCAGAGGCGATCTCGGGTCCCTACTCCTCTCAGTGGCAGACAGCCATGGACGCAGAGATGGCATCCTGGAAGTCCACAGGCACCTACGTCGACGAGGTTCCCCCTCCTGGGGCGAACATCGTCGATGGCATGTGGATTTTCAGGGTGAAGCGGCCGCCAGGTTCTCCGCCTGTCTTCAAGGCTCGTTACGTTGCTAGAGGCTTCAGTCAGCGTCAGGGGGTCGACTTCTTCCAGACCTTCTCCCCCACCCCGAAGATGACCACTCTTCGGGTTCTGCTGCACGTTGCTGCTCAGCGTGACTACGAGCTTCACTCTCTTGACTTCAGCACAGCGTTCCTGCAGGGCAGCCTGCACGAGGAGATCTGGCTGCGCCGCCCACCTGGCTTTACTGGGTCGTTTCCCCCTGGTACCCAGTGGAGTCTCCGCCGGCCAGTCTACGGTCTCCGCCAGGCGCCACGTGAGTGGCACGACACACTGAGGACTACTCTTGCGGCTCTTGGGTTCGCGCCGTCTACTGCTGACCCGTCGCTGTTTCTGCGCACAGACACGTCGCTGCCGCCGTTCTACATTCTCGTGTACGTCGACGACTTGGTCTTTGCTACTGCTGACACTGAGGCACTCGCTCGTGTGAAGTCGGAGCTGCAGAAGAGACACACCTGCACTGACCTGGGTGAACTGCGTAGCTACCTTGGCTTGCAGATCACCCGGGACAGAGCTCGCCGCACCATCACCCTGACTCAGTCACACATGGTGCAGCAGGTCCTTCAGCGCTTCGGCTTCCAGTTCTCCTCACCACAGGCCACACCTCTGGCTACCAGCCACTCGCTCTCAGCTCCACCTTCGGACGAGTCCGTAGAGCCGAGTGGCCCGTACCCAGAGCTTGTAGGCTGCCTCATGTACCTGATGACTTGCACGCGACCTGACCTCGCGTACCCTCTTAGCATCCTTGCTCGTTACGTTGCGCCTGGGAGACACAGGCGAGAGCACTGGGAGGCTGCTAAGAGGGTGCTGCGTTACCTGTGCAGTACATCAGGCATGGGGCTGGTGCTTGGAGGACGCGACAGAGTTGTCCTCACTGGTCACTCGGACGCCTCTTGGGTGGACGACCTGGCTACGCAGCGGTCGTCACAGGGTTACACCTTCAGCCTTGGCTCAGGTTCTGTCTCGTGGCGGTCCACCCGCTCTTCCTCTGTTCTCAGCTCTAGTTGTGAGGCTGAGATCTACGCCACAGCCATGGCTGCACAGGAGTTACGCTGGCTCACCTACCTGCTGACTGACTTGGGAGAGCGGCCTAGTTCTCCTCCAGTTCTGTACGGTGACAACAAGGCGGCTCTTGCCTTGTGTCAGGAGCACAGACTGGAGCACAGGACGAAGCACATTGCTCTTCGCTACTTTCTTGCTCGAGAGCTTCAGCAGCGCGGTCAGCTTCGGCTTGTGTACGTGGACTCGAAGGCCAACACTGCTGATATCTTCACCAAGGCGCTCCCGCCTAGTGATCATCAGCGGCACTGTACTTCTTTAGGCCTTGTGTCCACGTTTCCTCACTTGCTCACTGCTTGACATTCTTTGTACTGTACTTTATATATATCCTGTTGCTTGCTTGCTAGGTTTTGATCACTGTGTTGCTTGTCTTGTACTATATCTAGCACTGCATGTGAACTGGCCTTGTGGCCTTTACTTGTGCTCGGAGTGTGGTGACGTTGTGATCCACCCTGGGCTTTGTTTTGCTTTGCTGGACTGGTCTTGTGACCCTTTGTTCTCCCCCACTTTGCCTATGGGGGTGTGTTAAACTGTATTATGCTTGTAGGCTGTAGTGGGGTAGCCAATATGGGGTACAACCCCAACTAGGGTTTCATATTTGTACCCAAACTTCTGTTAGTTCATCCATTCTTGCCTAGTGATTCTGATAGCCCCGTGTCTCCTTGCCCGAGACTTCTCCGACACTGCGTTGGACGGGAGAGGCTGGCGATGCAGTCCATTACAACGACATGTGATGTTAATCGTACTGAAAATCAACGTGTATAGTGGATTGAAGATACCTGCAAGTTATTTTGTTAACTCACCATAACTTTTTCGGCGCGCAATCCATACTCGCTCAACGCCGAGCGGAAGTACTGGTGAGCCGTCGGCTGTTGTGCAGCCCACTGTGTGTAAAATGCGTTCATCTTCGTTGGTTCACTTGGAGGTGTGACAAGCACGGCATACGCGTCTTGCGTGACAACCGGCACTCCAAGAGTTGTGGCCTGCATGCACACAAGGTGTTGTATGTTACGAATAGGTTGGGCACACCAGCGTCACACCACATTCGTTGAATATGCTACCATACCTTCTGCATTGAAGTGTTGTGCGCACACTCGGGGGTGTCGAGGGATTGGTATGCCACCCTCTTCTCGTGTTGCTTCATGATTTGCGCCTCCACATCTCACTTGTTTGAGCGTCGGTAGATTCGTTTCAGCAGGGGGCCATGTAGATGCTCAAACATGGCTGTTGAAAAATTCGACACGTGGCCCGCTCTCTTGATCGCCTCCACGTAGTGAGTCATCAAGTGTGTTTTTATTAAACACCACTCTGATTTCTGCTCGGGAATAGCATCCTGGAGCTTTTTCACGAACCTGTAGGGGTGGGATTGTTTGGGGTTTCCAAGGGGCCTGATTCTGTCCAACAATCACGTTCTGCAGGTGACATTAATTCTGCCTCATCGGATTGTATTCGTGGTCATGTGAACATACGTTTCAATACCACATCGATCCATAGTGTCAAAATAAAACAGAAATTTCAAAATACCTATCAGTCAACCGCGCTAGAGTCGACAACTCTGCATCGGTGTGGCCTGGTTGCTTGGCGCAGAAGAGGTACCACTCCAGGTACGCTCGTATGGCGCTCAAGCGCTTCTCCTCCAGCGTGTCTGACACGATGAACAGGAGCACCTAATGGCAGGAGGGTGTTAGTAAAGTGGAGGAGAGGTGCATATGGCCAGATTGCGCAGAACAGCACTGCATGCAACATCAAAACCTGGTTATTTGCCCAAGGGGAAGTGTGTGAATTCACAAGAAACCTGGTTCTAGGCAACGCTGCAGAGAATTCAGCACCCGCCTGCATAGGAGAGCATGAAAACCGTAGCAAACCTTGATGAAATGAAGTGAAAACTGGATGGGGATCTAGATTAGGTGTGCTGATAGTGCCATATCAAAATGGGCTCTTTTGCCCAAGGGGAAGTGGGTGAATTCACAAGAAACCTGGTTCCTGGCAACGCATCACCAGGTTTCTTGCAAGGAAAGTACACCAAATCTGTTTGCATGGAGCTGAAATTGTGATGGTGGGCTAGAACAGGTGTCATATCACTAACAAACAAAAAAAAACAGGTCACCACATGACACATGTGTGTGATGGCCAGAGAATGACTTTGCAAGTGCCATGTGCAACCTTAGATGACTAAATACTAACAAAATGAATGATTTTTTCCAAAAAAATCAAAACCATCTCCGCTGGTAGAGGACATCAAGGACATGCTGGAAATCTAGACTTGGGCGAAAATCACCCACAAAACATGGAGTTATGATCCAAACCTTACTGATTTTTGACTTAGCCATTTTGACATTCTGCTTGTCAGAATCACACCAAATTGTAAACTACAAAGTTTATATAAAATTACAGCTGAACAGTGGTTGCGACGTCACCATCATGGACTGGATTTCTTGGGATAGGCATAGAATGACGTGGTTGTACATTGACGCAGCTCGGGTGTTGGTGCTCCAGGATTGGTTGCAAGGTGACAGCAACACGCCAGAACATCACACGCCGACCAGGATATGCGGCTTACGGCTGGGCATATCCGCATCTACTCCACACAACTTCCGTCAAGGTGTTGATCCAATGAGCGCGTTGCATCGTCCATCTCCAGTCACGTTCTTTGAACACCCACCAACCACGTTCAACATCCGTTACCACGTCCCGCTTCCAGTCCCCTTCCCCCGATAATCAGTTCAACCTCCGTTACCACGTCCCGCTTCCAGTCCCCTTCCCCCGATCGCGACTCAATCCTCTCGGTACCACGTCCCGCCTCCAGTCCCCTTCCCCCGATCGCGACTCATTCGTCTCGGTACCACGTCCCGCCTCCAGTCCCCCTTACCCGAAACTCTGTCTGTTCAGGTTCTCTGCCACGCCCGCCTCCTCTCACCTCTCCTCTCCGTCGCGTTCCTAGCGCTCGACCGACGTCCCTTACCTTCCCATACAATGCGACACGTTCTAAGTGTCACGAAACCCTATAGCTTAGTCTACACAGCCACGTTAGAGTCGCACCGCGCGGGCCACTGTCACACGTGATTTTACAGAGCCTGTCCCATCGCGACCCTGCTAAACTCTGTCTCGCCACGGTTGCACTACGCTCTGGCCGCCGTGATTCACGACGGTCAGATGTCGCGACGGCCTGCTGAACGCGCATGGATCGTCGCGACGCCGTGATTCACGGCGCACTGACTTCGTGACGCCGTGAAATGCGACGTTCTTACTTCGCGATGCCGGTTATCCGGAGCGACGGTCCTGTTATGACGCACAAGCATCGCGACGCCGAGGTTTACGACGCAGAGACTGCGCGACGGCTTGTTTCCAAGGCGCCTGTGATGCCGCCACGACTGCGTGGGAGATCGTGAGCGATCCGTGGATCTCTCGTTTCCGCTGATGGCCTAAGACCATCTTGCTTCAAAGCCACCTACTGACGTTAGTTTAAAGGTAAGCCCTCTCCACAACATTTCTCTACTACTGTCCACATACCTTCCTTCATTTCGATTGAATGTGGACCGCGCTTCTTTCCTAGCTGTCATGGCTTTACCATCCAAGGGGGGATCGGATGTAGGTAGCCACGGGTTGGCTAAGGGCGGAACCTCCAAGCCGCGCAAGAAGGGTAAGGGAGCCGCTAAGAAACGAGAGGGCGCGGCTGACAACAATAAGGCGGCTGCGAGCTGTTTCGACACCGAGATCCTTGGCAAGAGTCAAGCCGGGGACCCTATCTGTGTCACAAATGTGTTGACACCTACCTTGCAGGATGGCGCTGCTGACGGCGACGATACACACGAGGAGCGCGTCGAGGACAACCGGGCAGAGGCTTTCGCCATGGGAGACGGTGTGGATGAAGAAGGCAACGATGGCGGGGAGGGCGACGAAGGCGAGGGAGGCGAGGACGGCGACGAAGGGGAGGACGGCGACGAAGGGGAGGACGGCGACGAAGGGGAAGACGGCGACGAAGGGGAGGACGGCGACGAAGGGGAGGACGGCGACGAAGGGGAGGATGGCGACGAAGGAGAGGACGGCGACGAAGGGGAGGACGGCGACGAAGGGGAGGACGGCGACGAAGGGGAGGACGAGGACGAGGGGGACGAAGGGAACGAAGGGGACGACGAGAACGAGGGGGAAGAGGAGGACAAAGGGGATGAGGGGGAGGAGGGGGACGAGGGGGACGAGGGGGACGAGGGGGACGAGTGGGACGAGGGGGACGAGGGGGACGATGGGGACGAGGGAGACGAAGATGAAGAAATGGTAAACCAGGCTGTGGAGGAAGCGGCCGGGGAAGAAGAAGATCAATGCACAGAATCGGTTGCTAGTGCATACGCTGTGAGAGGGATGCGGAAGCGCCGTGCTCAGGAAGTTAGTCGCGGGACGACCGTGGACGAGGATGTAGAAGCTGCGCACGCGGTGAAAAAGGGGAAGTTTAAGCCGTTGTTCGGATTGGGACCTGTCGATACCGAGCACGAAGCGCAGCACGAGGTAAAAGAGCCCGCTCCCAACGCACGGAAGGGCGTGGTTGCTGCTGGCCGAGCTCGGACTGTCAACAATGGCCGTCCTTTGCAGCCAACGAAAAAACGAAAGGCCAAGGGGGGCGGGGAGAACCCTGCTACACTCAAGAAAATGAAAGGTGCGCCATGGCTACACTGGTTATCTCATCACCGTTGCTTATCCGCTTTTATGCAAGCCCACTGCCCTCCCCGGCTCGTACGTGCAACGGTTAAGGGCTGATTGTCCGAGCATATCTTTGTTTAAATGATTACATGTCAGCCCACCCCGTTTATCGCGATCCTTTGTTTGCATATCCTGTTGTCGTGCACAGGAAAGGAAACACAAGGTTCAGCTAGCAAGGCAATACCCAAGAAGAAGAGTGAGTAGATATTGCCCTGGCGCATGTGATGCACAGTGGGCTTGCTGTATTGTTTCGGGTTTACGTGAATTCGCTACTCTCGTGCTGAGATTCTGGGATACCTTGCCTCATGGTTTGATTCCACCCGCCTCCCCCCCAGCCCCCCCCCCTACGTTGACCTTTTCTGCCTCTCCCCTGCCCATGAACTTCATCCGGTCATTGTTGCTCTACTCGTTGTGGCTGTTCATGCTAGCGTCTTGGTTGTTAGGTGTCTATTTCAGGTTGAACATTCGATGTGAGATAGATCATTCAAACCTGACCTTCTCACTATCGCCTCTCTTCCCAAGCCCACATACTCGCATGTCCTATTCACTTAACCGTCAGTCTCTCTCCATCTCTCACTCCGTCTCTCCCTCTCCCTCCCTCACTCCCGTCTCTCCATCTCCATGTCACTCCCGTCTCACCATCTCTCTCACCCCGTCTCTCCCTCTCCCTCCCTCACTCCCCTTCTCTCCATCTCCATGTCACTCCCGTCTCTCCATCTCTCACTCCGTCTCTCCCTCTCCCTCCCTCTCTCCCGTCTCTCCATCTCCATGTCACACCCGTCTCTCCATCTCTCTCACTGCCGTCTCTCCCTCACCCTCTCTTACTCCCCCTCTCCCCCTCCCACACTCCCTCCCGTCTCTCCATCTCTCACCCCGTCTCTCCCTCTCCCTCCCTCACTCCCCTTCTCTCTATCTCCATGTCACTCCCGTCTCTCTATCTCTCACTCCGTCTCTCCCTCTCCCTCTCTCACTCCCGTCTCTCCATCTCCATGTCACACCCGTCTCTCCATCTCTCTCACTGCCGTCTCTCCCTCTCCCTCTCTTACTCCCCCTCTCCCCCTTTCACGCTCCCTCCCGTCTCTCCCTCTCCCCATGTCACTCCCGTACCCATTGTGTGTTCACGCGTATAGCGGTACTCAACACGGGTATAGGTCCACCATGCGCGGTCGATCATTTTCAACTGACCCCGGGGGGGAAGAAGGTGGTGCAGATCGGCAAACCACGCTCCGAGAATGGTGCACGCCAGCAACTGTCAACGCCAACCAAGCTAAACGGTGGGGGAGGGTCGCCGATGCCTAGTGAGGAGGCAGCGGGCGCAATGATGGCAGCACTGGCGGGAGAAAAGACAGCTGCTGCGAAAATCTCTGCGGCGGCAAGGGCAGTGGTTGGGCATCAAAGGGCTGCATCAGGTGCGTTGATTTTGCACTGTACACCTTGTAGTGAGCTATGGTTTCGGTTTGCCTCTACTTGCCGTGCCTCCTCATTTCCTCTCACCTTAATTAGCTCATTCTTCGAATCCGGCCCCTCTCCTCTCCCCCCCCCCCAACCCCCCGCTTCCATTCAATCCTAAACGAATGCGTTAATCTTCATTGTTTGTTGTTAGAGCTTGTGTTGTGTGTTGTTGTATCTCTTTTTATCCTGCCCATCTCACTCTCACCTCGCCCCCTATTACCATGTCTACGAATCTTTAAACTTGACTCATTTTCACTCACTACCTCTCCCTCCTCATCAGAAGCGAGAGGCCAGGGGAAAAACGCAGGAACAAGCACGGGGGCAGCACCAAGGGCCGTGGCAGGCGCAAAGGGGCAGGGGGCAGGCGCAGAAAGAAGCGCGGGTGCAGCTCCAAGGTCACCGCCTTCTGCAGGTTCTAAGGGGCAGGGAGCAAGCGTGGGGACAGCTCCGAGGGCGGTATCAGGTGCGAGGGGGCAGGGAGCGGGTGCAGGAAGGAGCACCGGTGCGGCTCCCGGTTCCTCGCCTTCTGCAGCTCCTAAGGGGCAGGGAACAGGCGCAGGTGCAGCTACAAGGGCGTTATCTGGTGCGAGGGGGCAGGGAGCGGGTGCAGGATGGAGCGTGGGTGCAGCTCCTGGATCCCCGCCCTCTGCAGGTTCTAATGGGCAGGGTGCAAGCGCGGGTGCAGCTCCAAGGGCGGTCCCTGGTGCGAGGGGGCAGGGGGCAGGCGCAGGTGCTGCTCCAAAGGCGGTTGCGGGCAGAAGAGGACCAGGAACTACCACAGCAGCAGCTGGAAGGGCGCTGGTACCAGTCACTGCGAGGGCAAATCCGCAGGCGTTTGTCACACGTGCGGAACTGGAAGCAGTCCGGGCAGAACTCCTTCGAGCAATCGCGCTTGCTCCACGCACTGCACCGGGTGTGCCACCCAACGCCACTACGGGCGAGCAACGCGTGCAAAACCGGGGTCCAGAGCAAATCGCTTTGGATGCGGTTTTTTGCGATGCCGGTGACTGGAAGGTGTGTTTCTCAATCCACACGCCCGAAAACACATTCCCTCATCCACCAATCTCACCCCCCGTCTACCCCACCCCCATGCCCCCAACCCCCCCTCTACCCCCCGCTCCCTTGTCCCATCCCTCCCCACTCCCCCAACATTCAGACCATCTATATTGGACGTGGGAATGTGTTACTGTAACTCCTGCGATAATTTCTCACCCTCTTCCCACTTGTGCTAACAGGCGAAGCGTCGCACGCTCATCACCGAATTCTACTGGACGAGGGATGCGGACAAGATTGAAATGTACCCCTCCGAGAAAGAAGTTATAGCGGGTTTCTCTGAATATTTGTCTCCAGACACGATGCCTCATCTGATTATGCTATGGAAGCACCAGTGCCCCACCACCAAGGGTGCCTTCCTCAAAGCGTGTAGCAGCACGCGCTGCTCTGTAGGCAAGGTTTTTAGGCGCATTGTATTCACAGCATTGGGCAGTAACAAGTACAAGACCAAGGTGAAGTACCTGCCAAAAGGACTGTTGCGCCCTACAGAGTTCAAGAAGCATGAAGACCTGCTTCAAGCCAACACCAGTGGTGAGTTCACGTGCGATTTTGATGCTACAAAGCATGTACGGGGGATTGTACCCCATTATGCCCTACCACCCTCTTGCTCAATTTGGTTAGCTCAATTTGCCCCATCACTACCCGAACCCCAATTTGTCCCTGTCCCTTTCGTATCCCAAATGCCCCTTTCAAACCATACTTAAATTTGCCACCCTCACACCCATTTCCTATGTCTGTCCCTTTCACAACATACCACAATCTGCCCATTTCTCACCGTACCCGAATCTGCCCTTTTCAGAATGGGGTCCTGGGTGGCATGTAAACCCCATCACCCAACATCCCTTTGCCATGAAGCTCTTTGCCGTCGCAATGAGGAGGGCGTTCACGCGGCGTGGTGTGCACCTCGTGGCGTGGAAGGCACGCATGGTGGCTTTCGCATTGTTCACTGTAAGTAGTATGGCAGTCGTATATGTTCCACAGCTACCGCAAACCCACGCCAAAATCTGCCCCTCTAAACCTAAACCTCCAATTGTCCTTCACACCGATCCCCCAATCTGCCCTGCACACCCACTCCCCAATCTCTCCTTAACACCCATACCTCAATCTGCCCTTCACACCCCAATCTGCCCTTCACACCCCAATTTGCCCCTCACAAATAACCCCAATGTCTCTCTTACGCACACCCCAATCTGCCCCTCACCCATACACCAAACTGCCCCTCATTTTCATACTCCAACTTGCCCCTATCACCCCTACACCAATTTTGCAGCTGGAGAACCCTCTCTTGGAAAAGGCCACTGATGGCAAGCTGAGCAACGACCAGAGCGAGAACCGCACAAAGTTTCATGAGACATGTGGCCGGGTTCGCCGGTGGGTGGAGCATTCCGTGCTCAATTTGGGGGTTCCCTATGATGGCACTGCGCACGCGTATGTGTTTGGCAACTATGGTGTTCGCATTGATGCGTCTGACTTCCCCCATCTCCCTCGTACTTGAGCTAGAATGATTGCAAGCTGGCGTTGCGCGCCTCATGGGCAATTTTTTAGGTTCTGTTTTTTTTTTTTTTTTTTTTTTTTTTTTAATCTGTAGTCGTGCTGAATAAAGTACAATTAAAAATAATAGTATTCTGAATTGTGACAAGCTAATGAAATAATTATTTTAAATTGCAATTTTAGTAAAAATTTAATTGTTTACTATAGAAAGTACAAGTTCAAAGGTGTACACGGTCATGAATTAAGCCTAAAATGAATCGCGACCGAACCTTGTAACTGTAACATATTTCGGCCGGAAACCATTCTGAAACCTGTCGGAAGCGAAGCCCTGAAATATTGCTGAGTGACGCCCGGAATCATGTGAAAACCCCTCGACCCACTGCCTTGGTTTCAGACTGAAAAACACATTGCTTTCCAGCCTGAGTTCAGCCGCTGGTACCGTTTTCGGACTGAAAACCAGTCAAAAACCGGACCTGGTTCTTGTGATGCAAGATCTCCCTGATCCAGGCCTGCAGATTTCTTTCATAGTGAGGCGCCGTGAAGAGCATAGAAGAGCACAACCAGCAACTTTCTGGTAAAGAACAGAAGCTTGAAAAGAAAGCGTTGCTTGATCTCGTGTCTTGCTTTTTCTGCTTGATGGTTGTTGAATGACAGCAGCATCAGCTGATAATCTGACGGTGTCACACTGGAGTACTCTCTTGTATTTGTATTTCCAGCCTTGGCTTGTAGCTTCCTCGTTCCACCTTGGATGTCTTGGAGCTTGTATGCAGTTAATGAACTGAAAATCGGATTTCTGCAAGAGCTTAGACGACGGCCCAATGTTCGCTCTGTGAACACAATATTGGCCTTGAAAGGAAGCTCTTAATGCGTAGATTCCGAATATGTAGTCAGATCCTATAACTGATACAGTTAAGCTTGACATTGATAGTAGTGAAGCACTTGAAGGAGCCATGGCGGAGAGCGTGAGTTCAAAACTCGAAAAAATCTCAGTCTTGAAAGTCGATGGCAGTGGAGTGCCAGAACGTGAGCAACGCACACTTCAACAGCTGGACACCCGAATACACTCGTTCGTCGAGAAGATCTTCCAGTTACGCTGAGGAAACGGTTGCGTGATTACGGGATTTTTAAGACAAAATCTCGTCACATGTAAGTTATCGCTAATTTATTGTACAGAATAGGAGACTTCGATGCTGATTCGTTGTAAAAACATCTGCAGCACGCACTGTTTTGAAATTGCGAGGGTCCTAAATCGGATTAGCAATTTCGTTCTGAAAGTTTCGTGTGAAAGTTTCGTGTACCTGATGCTCACATGTCACGCCAAGCAACAATTTCTGCCCGCTGACAGCTCAGCTGCGTGGCAGATCGGGTGAACGAACGCATCGCTAGATACACAAAACCATTGACAAAATTGGCACACAGGCGAGAAAATGGGTACAGAACGGTAATCACACACACGACAAAACGAAATGAGATCAGCAGAAACAACCATGCGCTGCACGTGACAAAAACACCAGAATGCCGCCGACATGAGCAGTGGCGATGCACGAGCACGTTGCCTGATGCGTTGGTAGGCTGTAATCAGCTTCAGTGCTATTATAACTATGCTTTTACGAAACTGCATGAACATCTTAAAAAATGAAAGTAACTCTAACACTTCAGACAAAAAAAGTTGTGCAAGTCTTGTTAAATAATATATATTTGTATTAACTGCCTGTAGCATAACATAGTGTAGTTATCTTGCTTGTTAGGTGGTGCACCTTTCTTCTTATGCTTGTTCTTTCCTATTTGTATCCTTGCACCTATAGTGAACCCCTCCTCTTTTGGTCAAACTCTCGACATTCTTCTTTCACCCCTAAACCCTAGTCCTAAGTTATCTTAGGATTCTAACATGTTATCAGAGCCTTGTCCTTCCTAGGACCTATTTTTCATGGGCCCACCCGATCCGCCGTCACACATGGCGACCTATTTTTCTGCTGCAGTAGCTGCGCGAGCTGATGGCGTCGAAATCACCTCCCTGCACGGTTCGCGGGCGTTTCGCACGCGCTTCGGGTGCGCGCGTCGCGCATGCGCTTCGCGCACGCTTCGGGAGGGCGCTCGCGGCCCTCGTCGTCCGCCTCGTCGCGCGGACCCCGCTGCTTCGTCGCCCCGCCCCACGCTACCCGCCCCCCTTGTCCCGTTGCGAGCAGCTGCGTACGGCCGTGCGCAGCCGAGCACAGCCGCGCGCAGCCACGTACAGCCGCATACGGTCGTGTGCAGCCGCGCACAGCCGCGCGCACTGCAGTTGCATGCGTGCGCAGCTGTGC